GGGGATTTTTTCCTCAGGCTTGACCGAAAAAGAAGTTAACCGGGGAACCGTTGTGCAGTGACTTCCTTCCCGAAAAGGAAATCCCATCTCCCAATCATTTTCACCAATGCAGATTCCTCTAGCCGGGAATCCCTATAATGGTGTTATTGTTGTTACTGCGCTAATCAGTAACTATCAAGTAGGGATTATCCTGGTTGATATCGATAGCTCGGGGAATATTTTGTTCAGGGCTGCATTCGAGAAGATGAATTTGATAACAGATCGGTTAACTGCACCGATCGGCTTATTGTCTGCATTTCTGGTGAACGGAAGGAGGCTCATGGTATAATAACACTCTCTATCACCTGGGGAGAAGATGACGACCGATTCACCCACATGGAGGATTTCTTGGGCGTGCCACCAACTTACAATGCAATATTGGATTGCTCTCTCCTCAACAATTTTCGAGTCGTAGTGTCAACATACTACCTAGCAGTAAAGTTTCTCTGTGACCGGGTGATAGTTACTGTATGTAGAGATCTGGAGCAATCTCGAACATGTTATCTTTGGGCCATAGGAAGCGTGGACCATGAGACTTTGGACATACAACACCAACGGGAAGGAGGCCTTGAAACTGACGATGTTATAATCAAAATCTCCCAGATCCTGATAATTTTGTTATGATCAGTGAAACTTTTGATGCAGGTCACAAATGGATGTTGATCCAGATTCTCTAGGAGCACCACGATGTTTTTGTCTTCTCGATCGTTGAAATGTGGAGCATCCCCATCAATGGGGCTTGCCACCTACTCAACATTGGTTTAACCGCCCGTCCTGTGAAGTAGAAGTTGCGGTCGATGACGATGATTTTAGGCGAATCAATTCGTGAGGAAATAAGAAAACTCTTGGAGGTCGACTATATTTGGGAGCTTCAATACCCTTCCTGAGTATCCAATGTGGTCATGGTACAGAAGTCCAAAGACAAGCGGAGAATGTGCATGGACTTCATTAATTTGAACGCTGTTTGTCCAAAGGTCGACTATCTAGTGCTTAGGATCGATATTCTGGTGGACTCTCCGTAGGATACTCGGTCATGAGTTTTTTTGATACTTTCTCTGGTTATTACCAGGTTAAAATGCACTCAGTTGATGTGGAGAAGAATTTTCTTACTAATGATGATTTATATTGTTTTATTGAAATGCCTTTTAGGCTGAAAAATGTTGGCATTGCTTATCAACGTTTAATGGATCCAATTTTTCCTTATCCAAAATCAAGAAACATTGGAGTCTATTTGGATGATGTGCTGGTAAAAGGTAGGACTGCCATACAACATTTGTGCGATTTAAAAGAAACTTTCCAAACACTTGGGAAGTTTAATATGAACTTTAACCCTTTGAAATGCATGTTTGGAGCTTTCACAGGGAAGTTCTTGGGGTATCTTTTGAGGCTCGAAGGAATTAAGGCTAATCCCAAGAAGGTGAAGGCACTCTTCGACATGTCTTCTCCCTGGAACAACAAATAAGGGCAAAAGCTGACCGACTAAATTTGCAATTCTGAGCCGATTTATTTGCAAGTCAGGAGACAAGTGCGCCACTTTCTTCAAAATGCCAAGGAAGGATACAAATTTTGAGTGGAAGAACAAATGTGAGCAAGCTTTTCAGAAGCTAAAATTGTCGTTAATCTCTCCATTGTTGTTGCTGAGTCCAAAGCCAAGGAAAGAACTTGTATTTTACCTGGGAGTCATCCTGGAGGCCATTAGTTCGGTCCTAGTTCGAGAGGAGTCAGGGAAAGATTTTCCAATTTATTATTTCTATCCAGTCGTCAGAGGGGTCGAACTAAGGTATCATTATAATGAAAACTAACGTTTGCTCTGATTGTTTTTGCTCGCAGGCTTCAACAATATTTTCAAACCCATTCAATTAAACTTGCCACTGATCATCCGCTTAAGTCTATACTCACTCAATCAGAACATTCAGGTCGATTACTAAAATGGTCCGTAGAGCTTGGTGAGTATGACTTTACTTACATCTCCCGAACTGTGATCAAAGCTTAAGTTGTAGCGGACTTCATGGTGGATTTTTCAGAATTGGATGGATCAAGTGGCGGGTTCAGGGCAGGCACACAAACTTGAATCCTTCATGTGGATGGAGCTTTAGGTCAGGCAAGAGCAAGAATTGGTCTGACAT